TATATTATAATATTATGGGGTTGTTTTTTTCTTTTCATTTATAATATATGAACTTATTGAACTGAAATGAAAGTAATATGACTGGAGATATCCTAATATAGACTCTCATTTGCATTTAATTCCTTTTAATAGTGATGAAAATATTTAATTGTAAACCAGGAGGTGATTTAACTAGCCTTTTAACAGCAACTTCAGTCTGTGTTCAAAATCGCCTTGAAACTTATGAAACTGTTTGAATAATTTATTGATATTGTTGTTGTTGCTTTTTTTGGCTTTTCGTTGTGTTTTTTGTTTGGGAAATTCCCAAGCGAAAGCATATCTATGATTTTACCTCACGTTATTGAAATTTGTCGAAAATTTGCGAGTACCAGAATTTATAAGTAAGGTATTTTACATCATAATCGGGGTAAAAGCATGTTCACGAATTTATTACGAATTTCAAAATTTACAGTATCCATGACTATATTTACTTGATTATCTTGACAACTGATGAGCTTTTCAAGTTCAGAATCTTGAAATAGACTTGGAACAAGAAAACAATAATTATATTCCTTCTTTGTCTTTTTATCAAAGTAAGCTTATCGATGACTTGTTTTTGTCCGAATCAGACTGAAAACTTGACAATTTACCATCTACCGGGCATCGTGTTACTCGTCTGTATCGTTTTCTTGATAAACTACGGCATATGATCAAGGTGTTTGAGATAAAAACTGCGATTTTCGGAAGGAAAAATGCTCGACAGGAATCCTTTCCTCGTCCGCCATTTTGTCAGAGCGCCTGCGATAAAATCAGCGGTAAACCATATTGCGCACTCTCAGTTGAGATTTAAATTAGCCAATCAGCGGTTTTTTAGCCGTGTCTACAAACAAAACAACCCATATAAAGTAACGCAGTACTGTCACTCTGCCTCTTTGAGTCCAGAACACTGGAATAGGTGGAGCAGTTAATAGGTAAATCTTTTAAAAACCACTGAATCCTTTAAAGGTCGACCTACATTTTTTCTAAATATTATATTACACCTTTTGCTGTTCATTAACAGAAAATGTACATTCATTTGTGCCAATAGTTGTATCAATAACGTGTAATGTACTTTCATCAACACCACAAGTAACATCATTAGCGCGGATCAACTTTCAATAACGACAATTAAATATGCGTGTACATTCATAGACATCAATGGACAATCAATAGCGCGTTTGTACATTCATATGCGCGGATTGTAATTTCTTGTGCGCGAAATTCAACTTCAATAACACCAAATGACAAACAATAGCATTT